CCTTAAAGAAAAAATATCACATGTGAAATAAGCTCATAAGCTTTGAGCAAGTCATTAGAGCTCAGAGACTCCTCTTCCATGTTCAGTTTCCACCAACTTTATTTTAAACCGTTAAGTTCCTAGGTATATCAAACAATCACATGCTTTATTGAGGCTTATTTGTTTCTTATGGTAAAAGTTAAATCTGAGTGAAGTAAATTCACTGGAAGAAATAAAAGAACTACTTAAAAAATTTCAATTCACACTGTAGAATACTTCTCCAATGAGAATGTAAGATACATGATTTTTCAAAAATCACAAATCTGAAGCAGGACTTAGATACTACTTCAGTTATAACCTGGGACTGGCAGCTTATGCCCTTCCTTTGCTTCAAAAAATGTGTAAGAAAGCGTGATAAGATCAACATTCACCATTCTTGGGTCTTCTGCAAATTCAGGATCAATGTAGAAAAACACCGGCATGTCTACTTCTTGGGGATTCAGTCTTTGCTCTTCAAAACAGAAGCACTGTATTTTGTTAAAATACTGTCCAGCTTCAAATGGTACAACATTATATGTAGAAATTCCAATGACTGGTTTGTCAGTAGGATTCTTAGCTTTATAAAATGCCAGAGCAGTCTCTCCTGGTACCACGTAGATCTCCGACTGCTGAGGTCTAAAGTTCCGCTGGAGACTGGCGTGTGCATCTGCATTGAAGGTAACCTTAATGATCCGGTCCTTAACAGGCACCATGTTTTCCACCTGGTCTGATCCGTGACCTGCTACTGCTGATCCTCCAAGGCCGGTAGTCTGGCAATAGAGCCGATACAGGGGCCCGGCGGCGTAGGACGCCCCCAGCATGCCCACGCGGCCGCGGCCACGTACGTGAGCACCCCTTGTTCCGCCGCCGCCAGTCCTCCTCCTGCGCACGCGTGAAAGGGTTCATGCCCTTCGGCCGCCACTGCGGCCCCGCGCTCGGACCCCGCGCCAGGCTCGGGCGCCTCCACGTCCCAAGCCGCCTCAGTCCCCTCTCGGCAGCCCCCGGCCCCCTCCGTCCCAGCCAAAGAAAATGTTCTATCCGCTCCGCAACCCCTGCCGTCAAGCCAGGGTGGCTCCGACGCCAGCCACAGAGAGCAGCGCACGTCCATCTCGGACCCCAGGGCCCTCCTCCCATGACCCCCAAGAAAAAATATTTTTAAAAATAAGAATAAACAGTTACATATTTTACACAGAAATTTAGAAATCTAACCATATATAGCATTGTAGCAGGACGTCCTATGACTTTTTTTTCTTGTCTCTTATTTTCATTTATTACCCTTTTTTATAAATAAACATTTACTTGAGAGACAGTATAGCAGTAATTGTTATGACATGCCAAGCAGTCGGTATTTAGAAGACCAGAATGACAGACATTCCAAGCATGACCCTAGGCAATGATCCTGAGAATCTTCAGCAGGTTTTTGAAGCTAGCAGTTAACTGGTAGGATTCTCACCCTGCCTAACTGTCTATGCTGATGCCTGTGAGCTAAGCAAGCCGCTGAAGGGAGCAGCCCAAGCACATTCCGGCTCACAGGTTAGCCCTTTGGAAGCCAACGCGAGGCGTGAGCGCTGAGCAGAGGCCCCGCTGGGTGCAGGTCGATCCCGCCTAAGCAGCCCGGGACGGACTCGTCTGTCTCGCACTCTCCTGCTCCGGAAGCCGGCTGCCGCAAAGGCCTGCACAGCCGCACTGCGCTTCCGGTTCTCGGTGAGCCGCCAGTGCTTCCGCGAAGCGGGTTCTTGCGCGTCTCTCACGCGTGCTTTCGCGCTTTCAGCGCTGGCAGCTTCCTGTGTGGTTCTTCTCCGCTTCCTTTCATAGATTTTGCTCTCCACAAAAACGCCTTTCAGACTTCACGTTTTGAGGCTATGTTCGATCAGCGCTCTTCTCTGAGGCGCTCTCAGTCCTCCGCTCCTGCTGCGCTCGCTGCATTTCCAACCAGGGCCGAAGCCCCCTTCAGGCTGACGCCCACCCGCTTCTCCGTGGGCTCTTTCAAACGAATCCGCTCGTTATCTTCCCTGACCGAAGAAAAGGCATCGTAGAATTTAATGAGATCCTACTTTGATTTGAAATTATAAAACAATATGAATACAAAAGATTAAAGTAGGAAATGCAAAGCAGGGCAACGCGGACGAGACAGCCGAGGCGCCAGGCGCAGCTCCTCAGTGCAGCAATCCTGACGGGCCCAGGCCCGGCGCCCTGAAACATGGGACCCCAGAGAAGTTCGCCTCAAGGTGAAAGTAGGCGCAGAACATATAAGCATGTGGATATTTATCAAATGCCTGATATAACTAAATTATATATCAGAAAGAGACAATATATTTGCCAATTTTATCCAGCTGGTACTTTATGTGGAAAGTAATTAGTCTGCTACCAACAAACTACAGTCGCAAATCAGCCTCGTGTATTAATGCAGTTACGTTGCGTGTACTGCAGAAGGTAGGGACGACAGAAAGGCCGTCGGATACACGTCAGGGGTCCCAGCTGGTGGAGTGCTGCTCATCTTGGTGTGCGTGAGATATTCAACTTATTTCTTTCAGTCTCAGTTTATTCCCTCCGGAGGCTGACGCTGCTAGTAACATTCTCCACGTAGACGTTCCATTCTTTAAAGCCTATTTTGCGGGGTGCTCACTACACTCATAGTTTTACTGTTATTTTTCAGTAAATATTATATAAATCTAAAGCTAAAAACAATCAGTCTTAATGACTGATATTTTTATCAGATTCCTTTTGAAATATAATGTGAACCTCTATGATGTTATCTAAAGAAAATGTGTTGCAGTTTAAGTGTCAGATTCATTTTTCTTCTCTAAATACATATGGAGGGGCTGGGGAGATGGCTCAGTGGAATACCTGCTTCTCTGGCGAGCGCAAGGGCCTGAGTTCAATCCCCAGTTCCGCCAATGAATAAATAAATAAGGAAGCAGAATAATCCCGCATCGGAGGAAGCATATTACCTTTAAAATAAGTTGTGTTTAAGGAAGTAAGATAATCTGTTGGATCACAGAAAAACTGTCAGAAATTCTGTTTATATTTGCAAGTAACAGTATATAGCCTCCGCGGCAATGCAGCGCTAAGGAGCTTGAAACAGGCCCTCCAGCGACCCGCAGAGCACTGAGGAAACTCCTGGAGCGAGGCACGAAGGCCAGCGCGGCTCCCACCCCTGCAGGGCGGGACGGTGGTCGGGCTCTGCCTGCAGGAGGCCGAGGGCTCGGATCCTCACGTGCGAGCGGCGCGTCCCGCGGTGCCTACAGTGCTGCGCCCCTGTCCATGCGCGTCAGGTGAGGGTCCACTTACCTGGACAGAGTGGGCTCAACAGCTACAGCTGGCTTTTAACTAAAACACATAATGGGTCTTAGACTAATTCTGAATTATAGATTTCTTCAGCTTATAGCTAAAACAACATAAAAATGCTGAATTCCCTTCTTTTCATGGTTTAGATTCTTTTTCCTGCTTGTCTACTTCGCCTGGCTGCATTTTCAAGAGGTTATGCAGCTTCCTGGTGTTCTTTCCCCCGCACAGCAGACAGCCATGTGCATCGACACCTCCCTGACTTGCCTTTTCACTTAGTACATGTTTAGCACACCGCTCGCTCAGTGTGCAGAGCACGGGCCTTAAGTGAGTGCCTGTGTGCCGTGGATCACAAGTGCACACTTCTGGAGAAGCGCAAGGTCACCATGTGGCCCTGCCCTCTTCCTTCCCGCCCTTTCCCTCCTTGTCCTCATCTCCAGTAAGTCAGCCATTTCATTCCTGCCATCTTTCCCATGTTTTATTCTTTAAGTATCTTTATGTTTCTCATATAGCCCAAATTATGTGACTTCACTTTGTGTGTCTGACTAACTTAACATTATGGCCGTGAGGGGTCTGCGAGATAGCCCAGTGGACTAAAGCGCCTGCTTAGGCAAGCTCAGGAACCAGGGCTCGATTCCCAGCAACACATACTGTGCCAGCCCCACCCCAGGGTGGGCTGAACCAGCCAGAGTCCAGGCATAGTGGCAAATGCCTGTCATCCCAACACTAGGGAGGCTGAAAGCTGGAGAATCATCTTAAGTTGGAGCTGCATGGTGAGACCCTGCAACAATCAAATACATTTAAAAAAAAAACCATTCTGGCCTTGAGTTCTACTTTCCTACAAATGGCAGGATATTGTCTTCCTGTGGCTGAGTGTGCGCCACAGCGTCATCACCCGCTCCACTGCAGCGGGTGTGCGGGCCAATCCCAGAGCTTAGCTGTTGAGGATTATGCTGCGACCACTTGCATGTGGATCCTCCGCAGTAGCGGAATGTCTTTGACTCTTTCAGGAATATACTCAGGGTAAGTGTCTTGGTTACTTTTCTCTCAGTTGCTGAAACAAATTATCCAACAAAGTGAAAGGGGGAAATGTGTATTTAGCTCACAGTTGTGGAGCTTCAGTCTACAATCTGTTGGCTCCTAGGCAGGGCAGCATGGCTCAGGGGTGACAGCTCATGTCGGCAGAAGACAGCAAAAGCAGCAAGAGGAAAAGGGGGAGGAGCGGGCCTCTTTTTGTCCCCTCTAGCGTGAGCAGGATACCTTCCTCGGTGAGTATCGTGCACACCCTGTCTCCCTGCCCTCCTCTGGCTGCTTACAAAGCGAGGACCCCTGCGGAGGCACCTCATTCAGCTCGTAGACTTCTCAGGTTGATGCAATGAACAGCACCCTGGAGCCAAGGGCGTGTCCTCTACCTCCTAGGAGGCAGAGCTGCGGAGCTAGTCAAGCTTCTAAATTTCTCAAGTGGACGCAATGTACCCACCATGTTAGCAGACTTCAATGAAATTTCTAGTTTTGTTTTCAAAGAACCTCCACACGGACTTCCACAGAGGCTGCTCCTCTTCCAGTCCCACCCAAACCAGAGGAAGTCTCCTTTGCCTTCACCCTCTCCTGCGCTTTCTGGGTATGTTCTTTTATTATTTTTGAATTTTTTTAAAGAACACAAAATAGTAAAATAAAAAATAAAGCATTAGTAATGATACAAAATTTCAATAAACAAATTAATAGGAATTCAACCATTGATAGCCGTCTGCCTGCGGCAAGACAGAAGCCCAGAGTCATATTGGTTTGTGTTTCCCTAAGGGGCAAAGCCGCTGAGCATTCTTCATGTATCTGTTGGCCATTTGTACATCTTTTGAGAACCGCCCATTCATTTCGTTTCCCCATACAGTTGGGACACTGGCGTCCCTTACATCAGCGAGGTGTCGGTTCTCTGTCAGAAGACTAGCTGCCAAAGTGCTTCCCATATGTGCATTGTGGCTGCTCACACTGCTGACCATGGCCTTGCTGGGAAGAACCTTTTCAAGTACCAAAGACATTCACCACTGCACCAGAACAAAATAGTCCTGAAACTGATTGGAGCCAGCAGAGGCCCAAAGACCCAACCCCTCCTGAGCAACAAGAGTGAGGCAGGCCTCGGAACCCCGGATTCCAAGTGCCACTACTCAGCTCTAGCGTGGGCCTGGCACTAAGGCAGAGAGCCAGGCCCACAGCATGGCACAGAAGCCTCAGAACGAAGCCGGGCAGCCCCAGCCACCCGACTCTCACAGAGCAGACAGCAGCAAACTGCAGAAGCAAATGGTGCCGAGAGCCCACCACCTGCCTGCCAATGACTAGAGCTAGGTTCACATCTCTCACCCTGTCTGAAGTTAAAGCCAAGTGGGTCAGACTTAGGTATGAAAGCAGAAACACTGAAAAATGGTGGATGTAATATAGACAAACACCAGAAGGCATAGGCAAAGACTTCCTAGATAGAAATCCAACTGCCGAGGAAATAGTATAAGAATCAACAAATAGCAGCAATGTTTTTCTTTTAATGTCTTTTATATTAGCTTTGAGTTTTCTTATAACTATAGTATAATCCTTCCATCTTATGTTTCTATATCTCTGTCATTTTTGTCTGTTGAATTAATATTTTCCAGAAATTTCACTCATATATTTTCCTAAAACTTCCATGTTTTAAAGAATGAGGGCTAGCCAGATAGCTTAGCAGACCTGCTTAGGCAGGTGTAGGGACCAGGATTCCACGTCCGGCGTGCCCTGCCAGCCCCCCCCCCCCAGGGCATGCTGAGATGGCAAGTGAGCCTGGGCGTGGTGGTGTGCACCTGTAATCCCAGCACTTGGGAGGCTGA